AATAATATATATTTTTTTATATCAACATATCAAAATGGTATAAAAACATAAAAAAATAATTTTCAATAAAAATTAATAAATTTTAAGCAACTTCTATTTGTACCACAATCCCAAACAATGGCCTACTTAGATTCCCAACATTTACCTTATTTTGCTTCCTTTTTTTCAGCAGTTATTTTATGTTAATTATGAATGCTGATGAATTATAATTTTCTTAATTTCTGGCTACGGTTGCTTTATATTTTGTAAGATAGCAAGAAGTTAATAAAACATAAATTACTACCGCTGTAAATTGTTTTTATACGTGGATTAATTTGATAGGAACAAGAACAATAGAGGACAAGAACAAATCATGCTTTAAGTGCTTGCTTCCAATTATTACAAATAAAGTAACAATTACTCTTCCTTCCATTAATCAGAGAACCTCTCTCTCTCTCTCTCTGCTTTTCCTTTTGTTGTAAAGAAGAAAACAAGAGAATTCAAAAAAAGAAAGAAATAAAGGAAAACTGGGAACATGAAGTAAAATAAAAGAGAATGGGGGCAATTTCAGTCATTTTGTAAAGCATGTGCGTCAACATAAAAACCTCCTTCACATGACCGTTGCATTCAAATTTCAAACGGTCTCCTAATCTCCTCCTCGCTTAAAACAATTCTACTGACCCAACCAGAAGCAGAAACAATCGAGCCAGCCATGAAAGCATACAGTGCATCAACATCACAATCCTCTGTGAAATCAAGCGCCACCAACCCGAATACCCCGGCCATGGAAGAGAGAGATAGCTGTTACTTCCCTGGTTGCAGAAAAGATGCCAACTGCAAATGTGATATTTGCTTAGCTAGCATCAATGCTACCCTTGACCTCATGCCAGTCACCATTCATAAGTCCTCTCTCACCAAGCTTTCTACTTCACGCGCCAACGTGGAATGTACTCCCCTGTCTTTTGATACTTCAACTATCTCCACACCGAAATCAATTTCTCGTCCTAAAATGGATTCTCCAGCACTCAAATCAACAGCAAGATTGACCTTGAATCAAAAGAAAGTAAAGAAGAAAAAAGAATGGTCTTTTTTTTCTTGCGGTGTTCTTTTCTGGCTGGTTTTGGGATCAAGCTTGCTTTTTAGAGTAGAAACTGGGTTTTCTTGGGGGGTTTACAGGGTTTTAAGGCCCGTGTTTTCATCAGATATGATTAGGAGTATTGGTGAGAGATCTTGGGCTGTACAAGACTTGAACCGGAGGCTGAGGTTCTTGCAAAGTGAATTAAATGGTTTTGTTGCAAATGGGAAGGTTTCAAATTGCAGCTTTATGGATTCAATATGGGAAATCAATCAGGTTTCATATGCCTAAATTCTTGAATAATTAAGTATAGCTCAAAGATTTGCTAGGTATTTTTCAATACAACAATCTAATACAATCTAATGAATAAACACGAACTGCAGGATGGGCTGCTTTTGAATTCACGGTGTGTCTTGTACAAGTCCGCAATGGAAGAGGTGAGCATATGGGGCTGGCCTTTGCAAACTGCAGGATTGCTGAAAACAGAATTTTCTTCGCGTTCATTTACAGTGTTGTCGGGCAGAGTTACAGAGGTAAACCCAAAATTTTGTAGCATATGTATCTTCTCTTATTAGTAGCAGTGTCTTTCACCTATATCAGAAGATGCTTTACCTTAATCAAATTCATGATTCTTTTTGTTTTTTTTGTTTTTCTGGGATCTTGTCTATTTCTCTTTAAAAGTGGTCTAACGGTAGGATTGGGTACTCAATTCGAAAAGCCAACACTTCATGGGTTCACGGGAATTGGGCTGCCTCTATTGTCCAATTAGATCCCAACACATGGATTCTGGAGTATGAGCGTAGCTTGATATTGAACAGCTCAACACTGTTTTCAGCAGTAGCAGAGATCTTCAAATACAGGATGTCAAGAGCTATGAAAAGTATGAATCCAGTATTCTGGTTGTTCTCTGATTTTGAGCACCAATACAGAGTCTTTACAGCAAAAGACCGTGTCAAGATCATCCCAACTTAGTGGATATATAGTTAAAAGACGCAGCACCATAACTACCTCCAGCACCGTTCCAGTTCTCATTGCTTGTGAGAAGGGTTGCAGTAGAAACCTATGGATATCAAGGACCCGTTTTCTTCTTTCAAGATCCTTGCTATGTTTTGGCTTGAAATCATCGTTTCATTGTCTTGGTGCACTCTATTTGGATACTCTAAGATGACAAAAGTCTCAATTTCTAAAATTCTTAATTTAAATTGTACATGATGAACTGATACAATATGACAACATAACCCGTGTTAGTACTTTTGCTGGAATGGTTATCTTTAATTGATGTTGGATTTCACATATAATCTAATGATGAAGCTTGGGGGGCATTGGATGAAGTCCCGAGGTTGAGCATGTCCTTTGTCATACTCCCGCCACACCACCGCCTCTCCCCTAAGGAGTATACAAGCATTGGATGAAGTCCCGAGGTTAACAGTGTCCTTTTTCACACTTCCCACCACACCACCGCCTCTCTCCTGAGGAGTATCCATTTCATGATTGCTGATTGTTTACTAAAACTTTGACTGTCAAGTTACAGATTGGTGAAGAAAATCACCAATAGTCATTACACGAGCACACGCCAGCTTTGTAATGGTGAAACCGAGTCCTGTCTCTAACAATAATCTCCATCCCATAAACCTTCGAGACCAACTTAATAAAGGTGTGGCAATCTTCACAAACTCTCAGATTCTTAACTATTCGGATGCAGGACCCTTTTGCCTCACCCATCAGCCCATAACAAAGGGCCAATTTCTCACTGTGCCATAAAACCACTTCTTTCTTTCCTTCCTCTTCTACATCAACCAAAACACTATTAGTATTAGGAGTATAGCCAACTAGCTTTAACTCCTTAACCACCTCATCTAGCTTCTCATAGATTTTATCTGCTTGCTTATGCTTCTTATCTGCCATTACAAACTCGTGTACTTGGTTGTTCAATTCTATCCAACTACATCCACGTTCTTTAGATATTCCTCTTTGTTTCATTAAGTTCCTTAGCTCCCCTACATCTTGCCACCTTCTGTCTTTAGCATAAATGTTAGATAATTGCACAAGGGCTCCATCATGGTCTGGCTCCAGCTCAAGGACCTGCTTGGCAGCAAATTCTCCAAGCTCATTCTCTCCATGAATCTGGCAAGCAGCCATTAGGGATCCCCAAATGACAACATTAGGTGCCAAGGGCATTGTCTCCACAAGTTCTAGAGCATCTCTCAGTAGGTTAGCTCGACCAAATAGATCTACCATGCAACCATAGTGCTCGTGTTTAGGTGTGATGTTGTGTTCATTTGTCATTGATGCAAAGGCTCTCCTGCCCTCCTCAACTAGCCCTGCATGACTACAAGCATAAAGCACACCAACAAATGTAACCCCATTTGGCTTGATGTTTTCATCTTTCATTTGACAGAAGAATTTTAGTGCATTACTGGCATCCCCGTGGATAGCAAAAGCATTAATCATACTTGTCCAAGATATCACATTTCTGCTTTGCATCTTCTCAAAAACTCCTCTCGCTGCTCCCAAATTTCCACATTTGGCATACATATCAATAAGGGCATTGTTGACAGGCAAAGCTCCTCCAAGTCCATTCTTGTCAACATACATATGAATCCATTTAGCTCGATCTAGAACACCAAGACGAGCACAAGCTGAGATTACACTTAGTATAGTAACTTGATCAGGTTTGATTCCGAAAACTTGCATTTCACTAAATAAATTAAGAGCTTCCTGAGGCTTATCACTCTCAGCGTAACCAGAGATCATTGCGCTCCAGCAAACCAAGTCCTTTTCTTCCATTTGGTCAAAGATCAAGCGAGCATCTTCAACTCTCCCAACTCTCGAAAACCCGGAAATCATGGCTGTTAAAACAACTAAGTTCCTAGATGAGATATTAGTAAACAATTTTTGAGCCATTTCCATACAGCCACAGCTTGCATACATGGTAAGAAGTGCACTCTGTAAGTAAGTATCAAGCACAAAATTATTTTCAATAATGAAATCATGTATAGCTTCTCCATAACTTAAATTTCGGGCTCGACCACAAGCCGATATTATGGTTGTCAGAACCATTTCATCTGGCTTCAAATTGGAACTCCTCATCTCTTCAAAAAGCTGCAGCACATCATCATAAAGTCCACTCTGATGATACCTGTTAATAAATTAACATCAATAAAAAGAAATATCTAATTCAACAACCAAAGAATTAAACTTCAATCCGTACCCATCAATCATAATACTCCAGGCAACAACATCCCTATAAGACATTCTATCAAACACCAATCGTGCTTCCGAAATCCGGTCACATGCAGCGTACATACCCACCAGGCCCGTTTGCACAAACGGGTCTTTGTCAAAACCCAGTTTAGTCGCAACCCCATGAATCTCCTTCCCTTCATTTAACCCAGAAGCTCTGGAAGCTGCTTTTAGCAATGGAGGAAAGCTAAACCTATCAATACCAAGCAAGCCTTCCTTCAACCTTATTTTCTCATATGCTAAAAGAGCAGTTTCAGGCTTGTCGCTGCGAGATAAAGAGCGGAAGAGTTTGTTTGAAAGAGGAGTGTGGCATTTGGGGAGGTGTGTGAAGACGGAGAGGGCGTAGTCGAGGGAAGAAGAGGAGAGAAGGAGTTTGAGGAGGAGTGAAGGAGGGAGGTTGGAGCGGAGGACTTGGGCGTGGATTTGTTTGAGGTGGGGGAGGGAGGTAGGGGTGGGGGTGGAGGAGAGGGCTGCTTGTAGGGCGGTGGAAGTGAGTGGGACAGGTATTGTGGGCAGTGTGGTCACGGTGGACATTTTGTTTCGGATGGGGAGGAATGGGGTGGGGAGTATAAATTTCATATCTATTTCGCTTGGGCCTATGAGTGTAAATAGTATTTGGGCTAGTTCTTGTAACTGTGGGGCCAGGCCTGATGGTTTTCTCAGACCTCTTCAACTTTAAAGAACTTACCAGTGTCAGCATTCGCAATTTCAAGCCTTGCGGAGAGCGTTGGCATTTTATGCGTGCAATTAAATTAAAAAGAAGAAACAAATTGAAGGAAGAGTTAAAGAGGAAATGGGTGAAGCGTTATTTGATCTTGAACAAGTCCTCAGATCCCAAAAGGTATGTAAATCTCTCTCTTTCTCTTCGAAGCCTCTTTTATCTCTCCAACACAAATGTTTTTCTTTTTCTTTTTCTTCCCTTTTTTTGATTTTTGTTCAGTCGGTAATGAATTAGAAGCTTATAGTTTTTGTTCTTTTCGTAATGGGGAGACGTCTTGATTTTATTTTTCTTAGACCTAGATTTGACTAGCATTCCATTTTAGGCTTTCGGCGTATGTAGTAGTGCTCGCCTCTTTTTTTAAGGTGAAAACAAATGGTGGCCTTTGTGGATGAGAGTAGAACCTATTTTTACGCTTTTATGGACTTCATCAATAGTGGTTTTTTTTTTCTTTTCTAATTGTTCTTTTTTGGTCAATTCTATAGGAGACGTTGACGCATCAAGAAATGAACATACTTCAATCTTGCAAATCGAAGGCTGTTAGGCAATTTACATTCGGTGTTCTTACCGGTGCCACTGTTGCCTGGGCAGGTGTGTATTTTTATTCTTTTTTATGCATATAGATATGCCGAATCAGCACGTCATTGGGGTCAAGACAGAACATCATGCTTGTCTGTTCTTCTTCTGCTGCTTTTCATTTTCCTGCTGTTAATGTTGTTCTTTTACTCAGTAATCTGAAATCATTGCTGCCGACAGAATCATTTGTCTACTAGTACTGCGTATTTGATTATTTGTAGCATTCTGACAGCAACATGGAAGCTAAGTTGGTTTGCTCGAGCCAACATTTCAGGAGGTAATGCGGACAAACACCTTAATATTGCTGATTTACATGACCACTCCTTCATCTGTGTAGACAAAAATATTTAAGTTTTACCTTATTTGCAGGAGCTGCAATTTTTTTGGGATTCTGGAGATTTGGTAAGTCCTTAGATTCCGGTGTTGATCATATTCTTGCTATGGATGGAAGTCGGATGCAGAAGGAGTTGGCAAATATGTAGGTTCACCTTACCTTGTTTGTTTGTAGTGAACTTCTCAGTTTTTCTACAATGAGTTAGAATATATTGATGTTTTATTATTTGAACGAATTGGCATGTTGTCTAGCCAAAATTGGCTTTCAACGTTCTTTATTAGTTGCATAGTATTTTGGTTTGATCTAGCACATTCTGAATGTTCTGCAACATACAAGATTGAGATTGATACTAAATCAGCTAAAGAGTAAAATCTGTCATCGACTGAATAGAACTTTGCTCATATGGGTGTGCTGAATTTAAACTGGTACTAAAAACCTGACAAGTTAACATTGTTAAATAACTCTTTAGCATTAGCGTGTCCAAGATTCCAGCTTTGGCAGCCACTTCTACTGCTACAATTGCTGAGGTGCTTTTGGCCCATTAGGCTAGAACTATATGCTGTTATTTTTTCCTAACAGTTCTACGAGTTAACAAGCTTGGCCTGGCCTTCTGAATCTCTACTAAAATTCCTAAGATCTGTCACATAAATAGTAGTTCCCCAGACCATGTTGTATCTCTTATCAAATGCTGAGTATTGTCTTTTGTTGTGTAATCAATGTCTCAAATGGTTATGTTCTCTGTCAAACTTTTCCTGTATATTTCTGATTTTTTCTGTTATATTCCATCTTCCCATCATCTGTTTTCAATTGCTTGAGGAAGAATTATTTATTGATTCGCAATGAATAATATTTCTATTTACAGAATGGTGAATAAATATCAAGATGATCCTTGGACAATGCAACATTTGAATGGGCGTTTCTATTCAGAGAAAGTTTTTGATGACTCAAACTTGCATAGGCCCATAATAAGCCTTCAATATCGAAATTCATTTGCTGATAATGTTGCATATGGTCAAAGGACACATGACAGTGATTCTCACGATGCCTCCCACAGTGACTCTGGTATCAAAAGGGCTGATGTGGAGTCCAAGAAAGTTCCTGTAAGTGCACTGACCAAATATTCCTATTTGAACATGGGCATGACTACTTTACTGGTGTTTGCATTCATAATAAAGTCAGTAATGAACATGCAAATAGTGGATTTAATTACAGACAAAGACACCCCTAATGTTGCAGCTACGAATTTCATGAATGGATATCCATCTTTTTTATTTTGCTCCTTACATGCAATTTTAATGATTCTTGGACAATTTGTTTTTCATATATTTAATATAGCAGACAGTTCAGCTAAATGGGTAAAGATTACAAAGTTTTTAAAAGCAAAATTCATAGATAAAACAATTTTTTTTTTCCATTTATGAACTGATTTAACAAAACCTTACTTATTTGGAATTCATTAGAGAATTTATTTTTATTCTTTTCCATCAATATACTGAAAGGCAGAAAGATCTAGAAGTAGAAAATCCGCATCATGTGGAATAATTCATTTCCATTGGATATCTGACGAATCATTTAGATGCTTCTTCTTTCACATTACATGTCTGTTAATGCTATGGGTAGAGTAACTTTCTTGGGCAAACAAAAATGTAGGCTATTGGTTAGGCTTCTACATGCTGTTACAGAAACTGTAGTGTGAGGATAAGTGCATGTATACACATCCACCAGGCAAGAATTGGCGTTTATGCAAAATCTCAGAACCATAGTTTTCTATACAGAGTCATCCAGGCTTTTGCTCGACTTGGAATGAGTAGATGCGCTCCCATGGAAAAGGAGGTAACCTTCTCCCCTAGGTTGGACTGATTGTCAGCAGCATCAAACCAAAACTACCAGATTTTCTACTCCTTCCATTAGTCAATACATTCTGTAGTTGGTCCATTGTATAATGTAGTGAACTTGCCTGCTGGAAATGGTATGATTTAGAGCAAATTAAGGCTTGAAAATGAAATGCATTTCCAGGGATGTGGTGCCAATCGTGGGATGCATTAGTTGCTTGCCATGGTTTAGAAAGTTTTTCTCAGGTAGTTTTGCGATGGAAGGATAGTTGCAATTGAAATTCCTATGAATAAGCAACTGCATCTGTTACAGGCTATTGAATTCAACATCCAGCATTATCTTGATGTGGGGTAGCAATATCTTAGAGCATTTTTTTAATCGGCGCTAAATCCTTAATGAACCTGCCCTCAAAATTAGCAACCAGTGAAAAAATGCAACCTCTACACTGTATTCCACGTCCTTGAAAGAGCAGGCTTTCCATTTGGTTTTTTTAACAAATGGGAAAAATTAAGAAAAGGGTTTCTTAGTTATCACATTATTAAAATGGTCTATTCTACTTGAGCGTATATTAAATTCTTGCTTGAAATTGTAATGGTTTCTTAGTTGTCACATTATTTAATCTAATCATTCTGTTTTAGATGAACCTCGATGCCAAAGTAATGGAAGACCCTCTAGAGAGTATTTTTGGTTTCATGGCCCCTGTGGAGGAGATCCATCACCTTGGTACATCAGGCAAACCTGCCAGAGTACTTAATCGTAGCCATAAAAGATCTCATCGTAGGCATCGGATGCACCATCAAGAAGCTTCTATGAACTCTGAACGTTTGCAGCCACATCAGATTTAAGGTTGGTGATAGACTTGGAGGAAACCGGAGAGAATGCTTATTGAAGATTTGGAAGCCAAACCTTCTGTAGTTAGTTATCACATATGCCATACTGTTGAACTGGAATTGTCAGACAAATTCTGTAAGTATTGTTCATTTTACTCCATGAGCAACTCTGGTGAGCTTAAATGTCTATATGTGGTATGTTGCAATGAATACTCTATACTGGAGAGTAGATAGACATTAATCATCGCATATGCCTTAGCAGCACAGGTGTTGGAACTTTTCTATGTTTGATCAGGTGCCAAAGCTATGAATTTACCTTGATGGGGCGTTAATATGGTCAAAGGAGCATGATGCATGATGCATTGTGCAGGTGGTGATAGTATCACATTGTTAAGGAGATCATATTGAAATGCTTATAATACAAGATGGCAACGTAGCTACCTGATGGCTAATTTTTGCGGTCGCTGACCTGAAACATGCTCTTGCCATTTCTTTCATCAATCCCTTTGTTTCTGGGTTGGATCAGATGTCGAAATATTGCGAACTTCAGAAACGGTAGACATGCACCCAGTGATATGACCTATTGTGCCTCAGCTCACATAATAGAAGAGTAGGTGGCATCAGTTTGAATCTACTCCCGTGAAAGGAAAGACTCTTAAACATGGTTACAAGACCAGCTTGGGTTCAGCTTGGCCTACAACTCGAGTTTCAAGTTGGCCAATCGATTCATTTGCCAACCTTCCAAGTTTTGATTTTTTTTAAAACCAGAAACAATATTGTTTTTGTTATAAAAAAGAAAAGCACAGTTTTTTTCACTTGCTCAAATTATGATAGGTCTCGGGTTGATAGATCACCGGGTTGTCATGTTAAGCAGGCTGGTCGGGTCTTATAGTTAGGCTATTAATTGTCTGCCTGAAAGAAGAGGTTACTGTTGGTAGCTGTGTAATTACGGGAGCATCTGGGGACATCGGCGCAAATGCCACCGCCTGAGTATCAAAAGGCTAGAAACTTACAGCCATCTTGGGGACCTTCCGTGCAGTCAGGTTTTAGCCAAACGAAAAATGATGAGTTTTATAATCGCTAAAATACTCTGGTTTAGAGCATTTTTAATTTTTTTATATATAATTTTTTAGATTGTTCTGATGTAATTGTATAAAAATAAAATTTTAAAAATATATTATTTTAATATATTTTTAAACAAAAATATTTTTTAAAAATAACCTTAACCATAATTTTAAATACTACCGTAAAGAAGGTATCATGTAACCTTCATTTTCTTGGGGGCATCAAATTCGCGATCACTCTTATCTTTTTTTAAATGAAAACCCACCACAAAATAAGTCCGAGATTCATAAGTAACCTATCATTCCAGTAGCTTTTGCAATCCACGATGGAATACAATATTATAGGCAAAAAACTAGTGACCTTTTGCTATATGGCCGCCACCTGAGTTAGACATATGTGTTTGTCCATGAAATGTATACGTCGCTGATTGTATGTGCTGTACATTATTAGGCATTCATGGAACAACGTAGAATCCACGAGTTAAAAAAATATTGTGACAATATCATAATTTATGAAGGAGGGAGATGCGTGTATGGCTTCGGTTTAAAAAGGGTGAGCAAGGAGATCATCATCTTCTTCTTTCTTGCTCGTTGATTAACTAACTGATATATCTCAAGTAATAAAATCATGAAAAACTGAGAATTAAAGAACTTGGCATGCTTTTTCCTTTTCTTCTGTAATAACTCATTTCATGACTGCAGTTTACCTGTTTTCTGAACACGCGTGTATCTTCGCATGTCACCATCCTTTTTACCGCGTCCTTGGTAGGAAATCCAGCTCTAATCTCTCTCTTCTTCTTTTTTTGGTTTCCTGGGCGCTCTTAAACCGCCAAGCAACCTTCGCCTTGTGAATGATTTAGATTTTTCTCGTCACAGTTAGATAAGATCGGAGAAATGACATAGCATTAACATTATGGAATGCATGCAAGATAAATCTGATTGATAATTGTGGAAAAATTAAACAAATGTTTAAAAAATATACAGTCTTGTTAAAAATGGTAATTTACTTGAAGACCAGGGGCAATAAGAAAATGCTATTCTCCTTTATCTGTTCAGGGATTCGTTCTTCTTCTCCACACGCTCCCTGCACAAACAAGAAAAGAAAAGGGAAGGAAGATTGATTCGTTTCATAGACAAACGTATTTTCTTATCGTCGCCTCCCTCCAAACATTTCCCATCCAAATCCACCCTACGAAAATTAATTCTCCCCTTTTAGCACTCAATCTCTCTCTCTCACACACACACTCACACATATGTTGCAAAAAGGCATAATATAATCCCATTTCTTTCTTTGAGGCCTCAAGGTTTCCCTCTGCTTCTCTCCTCTCCTATCAGATACCAAAAGAAACAGACACCCACAAACACCACCCATTCTCTCTCTCTCTCTCTCTGTTTCTTAATATATGATCAAACATTTTCTCTCCCTTTCCACTCCACAACCCCAACAAGATTTTGATTCCTATCGAGAAAATCAAGAAATTCTTACTTTCTTTAACCCTTATAGCATCTTTGTTTCCTTACTTATTTATTCTACCCATTTCACCAACAACGCACCAACAAATCGAGAAACCATGAAGGTGCATCCATTACCCAAGAAGAGAAACAACATAACAATCCAATTCTACGATCATAGAGGAGACCCTTTAGTATCATCTTCTGGTGGGTCCCAACACAAGAAACTCAGGAGGCTACCCCACATATTCAGCCGGGTCTTGGAACTCCCCTTCCGGTCAGATGCTGACGTTTCGGTTGAGGAAAATCCTGATTGCTTTCGATTTGTTGCTGAAACAGATAATAACATCGGTGAAGTGAGGGCCCACACCGTTGAAATCTATCCTGGAGTAACTAAAATTGTGATTAGGCCAAATGGGTATCTAGAATTATCTCCACTTGATGATTTGGAGTTGGATATGTGGAGGTTCCGGTTGCCAGAAACCACCAGGCCGGAGCTTGCGAGTGCGGTTCTGGCTGACGGAGAGTTGATTGTGACGGTTCCGAAAGGAGAGGAAATGGAGGAGGAAGGGAATGGTAATAATAACAATGGCGAATTTAGAGGAGGTATGGGAAATAATAGTAATAACAACAATAATAATGCTAGGCTTGTGCTTGTACAGTGATATGATAATGATAAAATGTACTGCTTTCTAGCTGCCTGGTTTTTTGTTATTTAAATGAATTATGTTGTGGAACTTGGTTTTTTCCTTTTAAGGTTGGTGGTTGGGACCAGGATTTGTATGCTTACTTTTGTTATTGATGATCAATGAGTCAATCAAGGTTTCTCTATTTTCTTGTTTGAGTGTGTGTATAACGAGTATGGTAGCAGTAGCATTGAATATGGAAGTTTGAGACTATTGTTAGTTCATTATGTTTTGGCATGCTCAGGTACAAGATGGTTTTTCATTTTGATTTTAGTGTTAGTGTTAGCATGAACTTTTGTTGATTGTTTGGTTTTTAGCATTGTAAACTCCAGGTTTTTTGTTATGCACTCTTATGTCTTGTGTGGTTGCAGAGCAACGGAAATGGATGTTATGTGTTGTCTTCTTTCTTTCTTTTTGATAGTTCAGATTCGAATTGTGTAAACTTTTGGTCTTCTTAACCTCCATATTCTTCTCCCACAGCTTCTGGAAGCTAGTTTCTTAAGGTGGTTGGGACTGGGATTTGTGTGCTTACCATTGTCATTGATGATTAATAAAATAGTCGAGGTTTCTCTGTCCTTTTCTTTTTGTTTTTTTTCTGTGTGCATAATGAGTGTGGTAGTAGTAGCATTGAATTTTTAAAGTTTGAGACCTTGTTAGTTTATTATGTTTTGGCATGTTCAGGTGCTAGATGGTTTTTCATTTTGATTCAGTGTTGATATTATATGATCGTGGGGAATGGTGCATACACATAGCCGACCCCAACTGGTTTGCGATTGAGGTGTGATTGTTGTTGTTAGTATTAGTGAGAGCTTTGGTTGGGTGTTCGGACTTGGTTTTAAGCATTGTAGCTTCAGTGTCAAATGTGGTTTTAGACAACAAGAGGAGCAGGCATGAATGCCATGAATGGTACATGTGAAATGGCTTTTCGTTTATGTTAGATTAAGAATTGAATTGAGTATTTCTTTTGGTATTCTTGGCCTTCATGTTCATATAAGATTTTATACCTTTGTTCGTGTCTTATGGCCCCTGCTTTGTGATCAGAAGATAGCCCCTTCCATATATGTATTCCTGCCAATTTCTCATATCATTCTCGTTGATTAGCTGGATACAATTCCTAGACAATGTTTCTTTGATTGGTCTATAAGTCCTAGCACCAATGATGTTAAACATGCTTACAATTTTCTTCTTCTTCTTTTTTTGGTCATTGTAAATTAGAAGCATCCTGGATGGTTGAGATTTGGGAATAAATGCTCTTCTCATCCACGTAAAGCCGCCCGCGCTTGGACCCTGTTCCTTTTGTCTTGTAATTTAGCACTTTTTGTGTGCTTGCTGCTGTTAGAATTTCAAGTTTTGTAAAGGAATGGTAAATTATGTTGTCTTACGAGACCTTTTAGTCCACTTCTTTTTCTGCGTGACAAATCTTTTTTCTAACAGTTCTTTTTTGATTCTCGGTATAACTTTTAAGAGTGATAACCACCTTTCTCTCACACTATATTCCTGGTTGACAAGGTAATCCACGTTGTAGGTATCTTTATTTGGCTGTTCTAGTGTAAGACTTTCCTACTAGATCAAATGCACTCCCATAGCTTTACACTTCATCATGGTCTTCTTTTAACGTTTTTTTAGAGTTGAGCCATAATTACCTTGGGAGACCAAATTAAGTGATGGATTTGGATTTATTAAATGGCATTCTAAAGCTAACCTCTTTTTTTCTCGCAAAATGAAATCTGCCAACTTGGCCTTCCGCTGTAAGGATGTGTCATACTCTAAGAAATTAACTACACATGTATGAGCAGCAACAAAAACTTGATTTACTATGCATCCTTGTAGAATTTGCCCAGTTAATTTGGCTAATCTGGCACTTGTTGCTGCACAGCCTTCTCGCTTTAAAACACAGAGAAATGGAGGAGGCTGTGCAGCAATAACTGCCAGATTATGACCTTCTGGTTGCCTCGCGTAACTAAGCAACAATTGGCACCACTCATGGTGCTCTCTCTCTCTCTTTTTATTATTATTAGTACACGCGCATGATGCCCTTTGCTAGAGGATAACGCTGTGTCCCTTTCATTGTTTGTTTGTGCAGAAA